AGAAAAATATTCTCCTAAATCATGTGACTTTAGAAAGTGGATTAACTCAACAACAACAATAACAAAAAGATCAATTCAAAAATGGCCAAAGGACTCGAATAGACATTTCTTTAAAGAAGATACACAAATAGCCGAGAAGCACATGAAGAGATGCTCTCTTCCTTTGAGTCTGCTGTTCAGGGAGCTGAGCTGATCGTTAAAATATACGTTCTCCTGCGATGGTTTGTGAAAAGCGGTTGCCCAAAGCCCCAGGTGCTTCCTTGGGTTGCTGCAGCCAATGCAGCCTTTTCTGGGGGGTTCCTTGAACCTCCCCATGATCTGACAACTGAAGGGTAATTGCCTGGCTCTCCAGGGGCCTGGCTCCAGAACTCCGCTCCGGGGCTGTGGCCGGCACACGTTCAGGCTTGGTTGTTAACTCTTATGAATGTATAGTATTCCTACCTTCTTCCTCTCTCTGGTTATGAACCATTTGAGAAATAAGAGAAAGAGTGAGGTGGATAGATTATTATAGATGAAATTCTAGATGGATTGTAATTACAGATTCTATAATGATAGAATTTCATCTAAAATTATAGATGAAAACTAGTTTGAGGGCCAGAGCTGCATTTGAGAGACACGCTTACCCACCAAGTCACTGCAGTGCAGACACAGGGCAGGCCTCACCCATGCCACCGTGCTTCCCTCCTCTTTCCACCGTAGGAACAGAGTGGACCTTGTGTTCTCTGTGGGCAGTAGGGCTTGGGAGTAGGGTGACCTGAGTGAGGCACTCACCTCACCTCAGGAATTTAAGGAGTGCCAGAAAAACTTCAGTGATCAAGATAAATAGTATTTAATGCATTATTTTAAACAATCAGAATTACTGTAAAAAATCCATGATGAACAAGATATCAAAATTTTAAGATAAAGACAGGCTCAGTGTTACTGACTTTTTCCTTTGCCTCAGGCCCCAGTATGGCTCAGCAGGGCACTGTTACGGATCCTGTCTTAAGTTTAGTGCCTGAGGCGAATACCACTCTCACCTCACCCTAGTCCTCGCCCAGCTAGTTCTTCCTAAATTTATGGAATGCATTATTAAATCACTTTCTTTCTCCTGGGTGGAGTGAGTAAAAGGACAGAAAAAGGGTAGGAATGTTCTGCTAACTGAACTCCCTCCACATGGAAGGAATAAACTCAAGTGGGATTTACAAGCAACATTCTTCATGACTATAAAAATTTCCAATTATTTTCTATTCTTTATTTTATTTATTTTTTTTTAGGAAGATTAGCCCTGAGCTAACTCCTGCCACTCCTCCTCTTTTTGCTAAGGAAGACTGGCCCTGAGCTAACATCCACGCCCTTCTCCCTCTACTTTATATATGGGATGCCTACCACAGCATGGCTTTTGCCAATTGGTGCCATGTCTGCACCTGGGATCCAAAACGACGAACCCCGGGCCACTGAGAAGTGGAACGTGTGCACTTAACTGCTGCGCCACCAGGCCGGCCCCTCCAATTATTTTCTTTAGACGGAGTGTTAGCTCTCTGGGAGGAAAGTGCAAAAGCGTAAATTAAAGGTTCAAAGGCAAGGAAGTCTGTCCCCAGTTAGAGTGACAGGTTGCACAGTTGGATGGGAAGGTAACTGGCTCTGACAGTCCACCAATGGTATTGATCTGGTTGGCTGGATAGGCATTCTTTTCTCAAAGCCCTCTGCCACATCCTTGCTGCCCCAGGGGTGGTCTGTGGACCAAAAGCTTGATCATCACCAGGGAGATGGACAGGAAGGCAGAATCTCAGGCCCACTCCAGGCCTCCTGAATCAGACTGCATTTTTTCAAAGAGGCCCAGTTGATTTATACTTGTTCTCTAAATTATTTCAAGTCCAACTCTGTTGTGGCACTGCCGTAGCCTTCATTTTGCAATCTGTTAGACCAATTCTAGCTTTCTTCCTGTTTATGTGGCTTCACTGGAAATTGCTATGATCTTAGGAAACTGACTACTACGTATGCTCGTACTTGGTTCCTAGGGGTGAGATGTGCTTTACTAAACTCAGTGCTGGAGGAGGTTGAGTTTGTAAAAGGTAGGTTGCAAGAGCCAATTTAAGAATTTAACCCTGAATTGTGAAAAATAGTACTGTGGTGAGGCTTAGGGGGTAAAACTGTTAGCTACCTTGAATGGTTTTAATAGAAGGTAGAGATTTATGAATATATCACACATGCTGATGATTTTTTGTTCAACCGCCTAATTCTTGACTTTAGAATAAAATTTGTAGCTTAGATATTGTGCATGTGTCTTCTCTTTTGTTTTAAAGTAAGTTGAAGATCAGGTAATATTTTGGGTTTTAGAGAGCTGAACTACTCTTGTGATTTGTGAGTCCTTAAAAGCTTTTAAGAGGGCTGACATGATTTCATGATTTATAAGCTCTAAATTATAACTGTATTTGTATTCATATCTTAAAAGACTAGTATGCCATATATTGATATAAATAAGGAGTAAAACTAAAATTCTCTGTGGCTATAAAGTAATGAAACTAGTTTTCACATGTGACTTGTGGAAACAGATTCTTTGTCATAATGATCATATCGGGTAGCAAGTGTAGCTGTATTAGGTTCACACTATTGGGCTGGACATTGCAGGTACTTGGAAGATGGAGAAGATACATACTGGTGTATAAGACTACCCAGTTTACAATTCAGTTGGCAAATAAGGCACACAACAACTGTGTAATCTAATAGTAATCTGCTCCTGGCAACTAATTTGGCTACGTCATGTAGTTGACTTCTTAGAGATATTTTCCTTATTTGTAAAATGAGGAAGTTTGAATTGGATCTCTAAAATGTCTTCCTATATTAATACGATTGTTGTTGTTAGTGCTGTCCAGTCGATTCCGACTCCTAGTGCCCTGTTGACAGCAGAGCGGAAGCCTACTGCGTCTTTTTGCGCCATTGTCTCACCTTCAGGGGCTGTATCAGACAGTGCTCCGCTGGTATTCATGGGGTTTTCATGGTGAATTTTTTCAGAAGTGAGTGGCCAGGTCCTTTTTCCTAGTCTGTCTTAGTCTGGAAGCTCTGCTGAAACCTGTCCACCATGGGTGACCTTGCTGATATTTGAAATACTAGTGGTATAGCTTTCAGCATCACAGTGACACACAGCCGCCACAGTATGACAACCGACAGATGGGTGATGTGGTTCCATGGCTGGAAAACAAACCCAGGCTGTAGGGGTGCTAGTGCCAAATCTTAACCACTTGAGCACCAATTAATATGAATATAATGAGGATTCAACTTTCCAGGTGTATCTATTCACTGTAAGAAATAATGGAATTTTTTATCTTTGGGGAATAAACAATCATTCTTCATAAACTAAGATTTAGAAAGTAACCTTATTTTTGCCAAAGGTGTTGAAATAGCTCGAGTCTTGTACTGGTAGTTCTTTTTATTGACCATTTCTTTTAGTACGTATTTATCAATTTTTAACCTTACAAATCATTATAGAAATACATATTTTGCTAATCTTTTTATTCAAGAGGAGCTACCATATCATATTCTTAAATCTTAAGTAGGGAATTTGTTCTCCTGTCCAAATGTTCTCTGAAAAAGATCTCTTTATTTTCCCAAATGGCTCTCTTAAAAAAGGAAACTTGATATTCTACTTTGTTCTGGTAGATAATACTCCTGAAAGACAACTTGAGAAATTAATCCTTCGGGTGAGAATGATTTATTCCAACCTTATTTTGTTTTTTAAACTCTTTGCTTTTGTTTTAATAAAAAATGTTCCCAAGGTATTAACTTTGAAGGCTTACAAATTACATTGCAGTTATAGAAATATAAAGACATTAGTTCTTGGATCCTGTAAGATGACCTCAAACAATGTGAGTGTAGCTCGTGGTGGGAACTTGGATACTATTTGTAAGGTAGGAGAGGAATGAAATTGGCCATAAGATAAAATGGCTAACTTGCAACTTTTCTGACGAAATTCCTGAGGGAAGGAGGATCAACTCTTTCTTTTCCATGGCTTTATCTTCATAGTGATGGTAACTTGAAGCTATTGTTTTGTGAATGGTGAAGTTGATCTTCCAACTAATCCTGGAACTGATCAGCTTAATTTTAGAAGTTTTTGGGTATCCACATCTGTCCCACTAATTCTTGACTCTGTTCTACAAACGTAGAAAAGACTTAGTCAATTTATTCCATGTCAAAACTCTCCTTAAGTATTTCTTCTGAATGTATTTTTTATGGTATTTGTTGGATAACATTGCTTACCAAGTTTGGAATTTGTTTTGTGAATTAAAAAAATTGTAAACCCAGTTGTACTAACCAGTTATGTGAAAGTTGAGTGGTTGATAGGTTCTTTATTTTCCTATTACTCTTTGTAAGCTACTGACTTGTAAGTCTAGAACACTTAGCCTTAACTTTAGTGGAATTTTACAACTGTTAGAAATATTTTTGTTTACGATGACATGGGAAAATGCTTGAGAGACAAGGCTGAACAAAATGTATAAACTTTAAAAGCAAAGCTCATGTCCTATCTATTATCACATATTAACATATATGTTATAAAGAAGGCTACTTTTTTTTTTTCATTTAACAATTTGGTGAACTATATAAAAAGCCTTAAAAAAAAATCATATCCTTTGACTGCATAATGCTTTTATTTCCAGGAAATTTTTCCAAAGGAAATAATCAGAGGTAGTTAAAGATTATGAAGATGTTGAGTGTAGTTATTTATAAAGGAGGAAAACCGGAAACAGCCTAAACATGGAATGACATGAAACGGGTGGTATAATTTATCCTATTATACATTTATTTTAAAATAACTTGAAGTGCTTTGATATATGAACCATTTACTTTATTCCATTTTTATCAGGTTGTTTTTGGTGGTTTTTTTTCTTAGATTTTTTTTAAAGTCATCTTTTGTGTGCTTTGGGAGAGGGAGCTCAGGAAGTAAAGCTCCATCAATTGACTCTAATGACTGTTTGTGTAGACAAGTGACTTCCATGATTTATGTTCAATGCTTCTGTCCGCAGTGCTCAGATTCCCTTATACTGGAGTCTCTTAAATGAGGATTGGCCTTCATGGAAACAGAAAGGAGTAGCATGTTTAGTGCTTTTTGAAAATATACCCCACACACGTAAGTCTAAAAAATGAATAAATGTGCTTCTTGATTTAAACATTTAGCTTGAACATGTTTCATACCCAAGAATTAAAAATAATTTGTGTTTCATAAAAGATTTTATTAGGGTGCTAGCCAAAAAACTATTACTTCAGTGATTTCTTTAGTAACTAAAGAGCTGTGGTGGAAAAAAATTGTGATTTATGTTTTGCATGAGTATTTAAATCATATAGCCCTTACTTTAGGATTCAGGATCTCTTTTTGAGTGTATGCTCTCACGCTTGTATGTGCACACATATATGCTGTTGAGATAAACATGGTGGCCTTGTTTCTTTCCCCGAGAAAAGGCTGATTTCAGGATCCGTGGCCAGGAACACACTGAGCGCTGTTAGTGGAGATACTGATCCTTTTAGTTCTTCCATCGTTCCTATTATCCTGGTTGAATTTGGGTCCCTGAAGTTCGAATACAGAGAAAAGATTGCAAAATAGAAAAAGGAGATCTGCTCAATTTATAAATTTAAGGTTACAGAGTGTCATTTTTTTCCTCACGGATATTGTGTGTCTTCCGTACTGTGACATCTGAACGACATTAAATACCAGGATTAGAAGTCAGTTCAAGTGAATGTATATATGTATATATATCTGGATTATTTATTTGCATTCCTAGCTTGAACATTTGGGCCTTTCTTAAGCATTTCAATTTGACCAAAAGCACAATCAAATTTTAGTTCTTTGCAAAAATCTTTAGATTTGAAAATTTTCATGGGTTATTCTTAACGAGTTTTTTTAAATATACAATTCAGTAGTTTCCAGTATATTTACAGCACTGTGCAACCATCACCGTAATCTTTAGAACATTTTCATTATCCTCAAAAGAAACACCATCCCAGTTAGCAGTCACTCCTCATTCCCTTCCCTCCTACTCTTTCTCAGCCCTAGAAAACCACTAATCTGCTTTCTGTCTCTGTAGATTTGCCTATTCTAGACATTTCATGTACCTAGTATCACATAATATGTAGTCTCTTGTGACTGGCTTCTTTCACTTAATATAATAGTTTTTAAGTTGTAACATTTATATCCGTGTTGTAGCATGTATCAATACTCCATTCCTCTCTGTTGCTGAAGAATATATTCAGTTGTGTGGGTGTACAGCATTTTCTTATCTATTTACCAGTTAATGGACATTTGGGTTGGTTTCACTTTTTGACTGTCCTGAATAATGCTTCTATTAAGAATCATGTACATTTGAGGACTAGTTTTTGTGTGGACATATGTTTTCATTTCTCTTTAGTAGATGCTTTAGAGTTGCTGTGTCATATAGTAACTCTATTGGAAGTTCCTAAAAATGTTAAACAGAGTACCACTTTATTAAGAATCACCAACTTTTTTTTCCCCCAACTTTGAAATGGAATGTTTGAGATAGGGAATGAAAACATGGAAAAGAGAAATGCTAATGTCGTAATGCTTCATTGGTCTTGAGTTCATTTGCTGTGCCTCCGAGGTCTGTCTGGTAATCACGTTCCATGGAAACAATAAGGGACCCTTCTGGAAATGAAAAGGGCATTATCACTAATTAGGGTGGGACAACATAAACTGGGACCGTCCTAGGCAAATTAGGACCAATGGTTACACTGTCAACCAGCCAAAAGAAATAGCTGTTGTCAGATTTAGCCTCCTTCTCTCTTATGACAAGTAAGAACCACTGGGAGTAGGGGGGAGCCATCAGATGTGCAGTCAGTCCCAGGGGCAGTTCAGCTGTGTCTTTGTCTTCTTTTCTGTCCCATTCCCTCAAATGAAAAAGTATCTTTGGAAGAGGGTGATACTTCAGCTAATAATGTCTAAGTACCCATATCCATAGTTATAGGTTCTAAATGTAAAAATAAAGTAATTGAAATTAATCAAGTGATGACTTATTAATTCTTCTAATACTTACTTGAGTTAAATGTTTTATTTCTTCCAGGGAGCAACAAATCGTTTCAACTTCAAAGCATCTTAGACTAAGAAACGTTCAACTGTGCTGAAGAACTTAGGAGACAGTTTTTCCTTCCCTCTCATTTGAAAGGACTTAAAGAGGAAATAAAATGGCAGAGGTTTAAAGTTAATATTCAGGATGAATGATGGTAATTCAGATGACGAGACAGGAGATGCAGTGCAATCCTCATCTATCAGTGATAAAAATGGAAACACATACGCATACAACCCCAAATCACCACCTACACAAAACTCTTCAGCCAATACTGTGAATTGGAATTCTGCCAGCTTGGATGACATGGTGGTTGATTGTGAAACCAACTCTGCTGTGGACATTGGTGAATCTGTTTCTTTAAACCCTCAGTGTGTTGAAGTACTTGATCACCAAAAGTCTTCAAGTGGTTTCGTTAGTAAGGAGATGTTAGATATGCACAAAGATTCCCCACGGCCGTCTTCTGCACGGGTTGTAGATGGAGAGGAGCCCAAGTACCCACATAACAATTGTCATTCTCTGGAGTCATTTCAGGCCCAGAGTATTGAGACAGCTCTGCCTTTTGTGTGGAGATCTAATGATGATGATTTGAACTGTACAGACTACCCTTCTGCCTTGGAGCTAAACCAAACATTTGACATGAAAGTGGATAACATTAACTGCACCTTTATCACACATCATGCCATTGGAAACAGTCAGTCTTTGCATACCACTGGAAGTCTGCAACCAACCTGCGTGAGAAGTGGAAATACATCTTTACCCTGTTGCGTTCATGCATCTTCCCATTCTGATAAGATACACGTGAGAGGAACAAGTTGTGCTAGAGACAGCTTTGAAAACCCTCAAGCCACAATATCAGAGGCCCAAGACATAGCTTACACAGCCTTTTCTGATGTGGTGATGCAAACTGATGTTCCAGATAGTGGAAATTGGTGTCAGTATTCTTTGGGCAAGGTCACCAGTGAGTACACAGATGGATCACAGCAAAGACTAGTTGGAGAAAAAGAGATACAAGCCCTAACACCAGTTTCTGATGACATGGATGTTCCCAATGGGTCTGTATTACAAGAGTTCTTTTGTTTATCTAAAGATGAACCAAATAGTGAGACACATTCACAGAGCTCATATGGGCAAAAGGAAATGAGCCAAAATCTAAGAGAAACAGTGTCCAATTGTCTTATAGATGATGAATGCCCTTTATTGGTGCCAGCTTTTGATACAAGCAAAGCCCAAGTGCTGAACCCAGCACATAAAGTCACTGTGGCTAAAGACACACAAATTGCTTCCAGCGAAAAGGATTTGGGAACTCAAAATCGTACCATAGATTTGATACTGAGTAGCCCACCAGGGCAAAAAGGGGCTTCATCATTTGAACTGACTTGGGATGCAAATGATATGGTCGTTAGCACAAATAACACAATTTGCATGTCAACACCAGTCCTAGAACCCACAAATGCAACCTTTTCTATTTCCCCCATTGAAGCAACAGAGAAATGTAGTAAAGTTGAGAGGAGTAATCGAGAGCTTAGAAATTTACCAAACTTGAAGGGGGCACCTGTGAACAAGTCTAAAGCTAATCTAGGAAAATCAACAGCCAAAACGAATACCCCTGTAGGCAGCAAAGTTAGAAAAACCGAAATTATAAGTTACCCAAGACCAAACTTCAAGAATGTCAAAGCAAAAGTTATGTCTAGACCAGTGTTGCAGTCCAAAGACCCTGCTTTATCAAAGGTCGCACCCAGACCTCAGTCAACCAGTGCCTCGTCACCCTCATCGGTGTCTTCCTCAAGACAGTTGACAGTTTTGAGCAAAACACCAAGATCTGACTTGAATACGGACACAAAAGCAGAAATCTTAATTAACAAGACGCATAAGCAGCAATTTAATAAACTCATTACTAGCCAGGCTGTGCATGTTACAACTCATTCTAAAAATGCTTCACACAAGGTTCCAAGAACAACATCTGCCATGAAATCGAATCAGGAAGATGTTGACAAAGTGAGTTCTTCTAATTCAGCCTGTGAGACTGGGTCCGTGGTTGCGTTTTTCCAGAAGATCAAAGGTGTACTCCCGGTTAAAATGGAAAGCACAGAATGTTTGGAAATGACATGTGCTTCCAATATCGATCGGATTAGCCCTGCAAAGAAGGGTGAAAAAGAAAATGGGACACCTGTGGAAAAACAAGAGCTGAAAAAGGAAATTATGAATGAGACCTTTGACTATGGTTCTCTGTTTTTGGTAAGTGAAATTTTTGCCTGCTTTCGGGAATAGTGGAGGAAACTGAGGGATATGTGTGCAATTGGTTATCCACTAATAGTCGATAATATTGCAGAACTAGGTGTGCAAATTTTCTTTCAGGTGTTAATATATTATTCAGTAATTCCTTGTCTTAGTACATTGTAGAATGTTAATTGGTTACAATATAGGAAACTTGCACATTGAAAAAAATTCTCAAGTTCAGTATTTCATATTGAGTATGAATGTTCCTTTTAATAGTAAGCTAAAAGAACGGTTACTTTAGTATTTTAGGATAATTAGTTATTTAAAGTTAAACATCTGATTATATTTTACATTTACGAAACAAAGGTTTGTGTATAAACTTTAAAATGTATCGGCCCACATTTAAGAAATGGCTGGGGAGTGCTGGTAAACAGTATCAACACAAAAATAACTCCTGGTCTTGTGTGAGGAAGCTGCTGTGGGAAGTGGAGCTCTCTTCTATGAACAGGAGGATTCTGGCTTTTGCTTCTGTTCAGCTAATGTCCCTTTGGATAAGTTATCTTTTGAGACCCAAAGGTGAAAGGATTGGATTAGTATATGTCTGAGGTCACCTGCAGCCCTAACATATTGATTCCCGCTACATAAAAGAAACAAAACCCATTTTATTCATGTCGAGTGAAGAGGCAGGATGTTTTCTGTAGCGCTGTCAGATATTTGGGGTGGGGGAGACTAGATAGTTCCATTTCAAGAATAAAGAATTCACGTGCAATTCAAAGATGATTTTTCTTTGAACGTGCGTGTATTTTGACAACAGCATGAAGAAACTGGTTTTCTGAGTTTGTCAGTTGGCAGGCCACGCTTGGGCTTTGTGTACTTGTCCTCAGCCCTATTTTTGGCAGTGGGGACTTAGGTGTATTTTCAGCCCCACGTAGGCTTTGCTTGGGCTTCTGTCCTCTGGGCCAGGAGTGGAGCTCGGTGCCAGGGTAGGAAGGCAGAGGGAACGTCTCTGTGAGGGCTCATGTCTGAGAGCAGCGAAGCTGGTAAGCGTGGCAAAGTGTTAAAGGGCTGTTTTAAGGGTTTTCAGGGTGCATAGGGAATTGATAGGTCCTTGTAGGAGATTAGGAAAGATGATGATATTCTTGAGCTAGATCAGTTTAGAGATGTTTGGGCTTTTGTAATAAATCATTCTTTTTAGGAAGGATGCTACACCACACTGATGTCTAAACGAATGAGATTGTCCATTGTTTCAAAACTCAGATTTTATTTTTAAGTTCTTTTGAAGTCAAACTTAGGAAACTTGTTTTATAATTTGTAATTTGGTATTGTGCTAAATTATAAACTCTGGCAATTCTAACCAGCATTCTTAGCTTGATGTTTATAGATCAGTACTCCTTGGAAATGAAGCACTTTTTTTTTTTTTTTAAGATTGATTTATTTATTCTTTTTAAAATTTTTTGGTGAGGAAGATTGGCCCTGAGTTAACATCTGTGCCAATCTTCCTCTCTTTGCTTGAGGAAGATTGCCACTGAGCTAAGATCTGTGCGAATCTTCCTCTATTTTGTATGTGGGATTCTACCACAGCATGGCTTGATGAGTGGTAGGTCTGTGCCTGGGATCCAAACCTGTGAACCCCGAGCTGCCGAAATGGAGCCCGCAGACTTAACCTCTATACCTCTGGCCCGGCCCAAGAAGCACTTTTTATCTTAGGACTCTTGCAGTTAGGATTCCTATGTTTTCAGCACTGACACTTTTACTTATCGACTGGGATAGAAAAACATTCTTTTTCCACGATGATGTCTTAAGTGCTGTTTGCTCAGTATCACTACCTGGTACACATTTCCATGTGTGGTGGGATCGGGGCTGGGCAACCCATCGCAGGCCACGGGGTTTGTGCTTTTGTACAGAGCTGAACAAATGAACGTTTGCTTCATGTTTTGCTCAAACTCCTGTGTTCGTTGGACACTTCCTTCAGCAGTGCCCGAAGGTTCTAAGTCTGCCCTGTACCTGTGATGAGACAGTCCTGGACGTTAATTTTCAGTGTTCTCTGTTGGTCTTGGGCTGAATTAGGCCTTGAGGTTACTGAATCCTTAGGCTGCCTCCAACCTCACAGCTCTTTGGTGGTTAGGGTTTATCTGAAACTTCAGAAAGGTTCATATTTAGAAGGAATTTGATTTTAGTTTGATACAGGTTGAGTCTAGCTACCCATTACAGAGGTCATGTATTGGTGACAGTGTGTTAGAAAAAGGGAGTGGTGAGTTATCTAAAAGGAAAGGGATCGGGGCTGGCCCAGTGGCATAGTAGTTTGTGTGTTCTGCTTCAGCAGCCCAGGGTTCCAGGGTTCCAGGGTTCAGATCCCAGGTGTGGACCTAACACTGCTCATTAAGCCATGCTGTGGTGGCATCCCACGTAAAATAGAGGAAGATTGGCAACAGATGTTAGCTCAGGGACAGTCTTCCTCACACACACATAAAAATAAATAAAAGGAAAGGGATTGATATTTATTTGATGCCTGCTCTGGACTACTTTGCTCAGAAAGCTTTCATATATGTCATTGAATTTCCCCAGTAATGATCAGGTGCTTTATATGTCACCATTTACTCTTCCCAATAACAACATCCCATTTTAAACCCTCATAGAAGACACTTAAAACACACATAGCTGGTAAATAGGAAAACTGAGATTCAAACTCAGGTCCTTTGACTTGAATCCTGGCCGTTTCTGCTCCGTACACCACAGGGTTTCAAGATTTTTGTGGAATGTTGGCTCTGCAAGGCAGAGTAAGTCTGATTTGTTAAAGATTCACTTATTCTAAGTTGGTTTACTTTTTAGAAGGTTTTCTCAGGGGATCCCCTTAGCCGGTTTTACAGTAGAGGTAGAAGATCTTAGCTTTTTACAATTGCCTGCTTTTCTTGGCCAACTTTGTGTTGCTTTCCAGCGTTCTCTTGGGATATTGCCTTTTAAAGTTAGTTTTAATCCACCTAGTGTATGAATTCAACTGCCATCAGCATGTGGCTTTACATATCTCTGTTGGAAATTATCCACTTATGACTTAGGAAACAAAGAAGGATAGTGGGGAATATGCAACATAGAGGTTAAGAGCATGGATTTTGGAATTAGACATGGTTTCACATTGTAGCTCCATCATTTACTGGCACAGTGACCTTGGGCAGCTTACTTAGTCTCTGTGAGGCTCAATTTGCTTTTGTGTAAAGGGAGAATACAAATTATAGCTCATAATGTTGGAAATTGTTCTTTGAGTAACGGTCAGGCTCTCATTTCTTCCCGCAGAATAGAAACATTTATTGGGTGTCTACTGTGTGCTGTGTATGATGGTGATGGTTGTTCAGATATAAAGAAGAAAGACACAGCCCATGGCCAAACCTAGTGCAGTGGGTATTAATAGAAGGTAAACCAAAGGGGATGTTCAGTACTAAGTTGAGAGTATGTGTAGACTGCTGTGCTGTAGGAGGCGGAATGGGGTAATGGCAATGGGGAGAGTTGTCAAGGAAGGCTTCTAGGAGAGATGCCATGTTAGTTACTAGCTGGAACTTAAAGGGCAAGTATGAATTGGAAGGGTATTTTGGGTGGAGGAAATAATATATACAAAGATAAAGAAATATGAGAATATACTGTCATTCAGGAGACTCTAGGTGGTGAGTATGATTGGAGCTAAGGATGTGGAATCACGAACAGTAAGGAATAAGCTGAAGAGGATGGCAGGGGGTGCCACATCCTAAAGGTCTTGGTGTGCCTTGTTAAGAAGAGTTGGCTTTGTCTGGAAGACAGAGGGAAGCCATCTAACCCAATCTGGACTTTAGAGAGAGTGCCTTAGCAATGGAGTAGAAGATGAATTGGAGGCTGGTAAGACCAGAAAGATCCTGAGGACATGGTTTTGGTAATCCTGGCAAGCAATGATGCAGCCCTGTGCTAAGGCAGATGGAAAAGGGAGAGAATGCCATCAAGAGTTCAGGAGATAAGCAAGGAAGCACCTAGAAATAGCTCTCACTGTTTAAGTTGGGTGCCTGGGCATGTTCTGGTGAATATGGGAAGAGATAAGTTTTGAGCTGGATGGGTAAAATTAGTTTAATTTTAGACATGCTTCATGTTCTTCTGTAAAATGAGGAATGATAAAAGTATCAACCTTATAGGGTTGTTATGAGGATTAAATGCGTTGATATATTTAAGACTTAAAGTGGGTATTTTCCATTCTGTGACGGCTATATGTTAATTAGTAAAAAACAACAATAGTAAGATTGTTGTTGACATTGTTAGGTAGAGATGCCTGAAGGATGCTAAGTGAGCAGATGCAGAAAGAAGCTAAATATATGGGAAACTCCAAAGAGAGTGTGGCTTGGACATGTGGACTTTGGATACCACAGCGTGTAGTTGGCAGTTAGAACAATGGACAAGGTCATCAAGGGAGAGTGTATGGTGAGGAAAGAGAACAGGGCCGAGTTTAGGATCCTCATGACAACTAGCATTTAAAGGTGCAGAAGAACAGGATCCAGAGAAGGAATAACCAGACAGATAGAAAGAAAACTAGGAAAGATCTGTGTTGGAGAAACCAAAGAAAGATGGACTCATTGGCATTAGATGCCATTGAGAAGGGCCTGCGGGGAAAGGATTGAAATCTGTAGCTTGAATTCAACTTGTGGCACTGGGCATCTTGGGAACCCTTCAGCTGTTGGGGACAGAAGGCAGATCATGATAAATTGAAGAGTACATGATGAACAGTTTTAATTTCTTCCTAGTAAAAATGAAAATGAATTATCCATCTGGCATATCTGGTTAGACAGAAATTGGTTCTTTCACATAGCTAACACCACAAGGAAATGGTTTGAGGAAGGAATGATCTGGACTAAGATCTCACTGTTTTTTCATAGGGTTCTGCTTCAAAAACTGCAACCACCTCAAGTAGGAATATATCCAAGTCTGACTCCTCCAGTCTGAGGAAAACGCCTGGTCCGAAAGCCAAAGTGGGGCCTTCTGTTTCCTGTTTGAGGCGAAACAGTGACAGTAGAAATCTTAATTCTGATCGAGGCTTAACTCCTCAGAGGATCAGGCGTGTGTCCACTTCCGGTAAGAATAAAGTAATTCAGTTGTGTCTTATAGCAGTTTATGAATTATTTGAATGTAAAATCAGGCATGTCAGAAAGCAGAAAGACAGATTTTGGTGATGGAACTAACGCATTCTGTCACTAAAGTGTTTAGCCTTCTGTGGACCAGCATGTTGCAGAGGGAAGGTAGAAAAAGAAGTCCAAGATGTAACCTTATCTTTGAGCAACATAAAGGCTAGTTGGGGAGACAGGGATGTGCATAAACCAACTTCTAAGCTATTTGGAAGCATTACGTATATAAATATGCAATTGGGTACTTGTTATATATGAATAATTTCATTTTGAGTTTTTTTTACATATTACGTGCTTAATAATATTTGTTATTTATTAGATTCATGATGTACCCTCACCACGTGTGAAGAGATTTTTTTCTTGAATTTTGCTGAAAGATGTATTATAAGTTTTCAGGGATATAAGGGTGACTAAAAAGTTAAACTTTTCTAATATGAACTTTTCTTTGTGTTGGTTTGTCTTTTAGAAGCAGTAGTTGTAAGTTCATACTAGGTTTATGAAATCTGAAGCTTTAGAGTAGCTGTTAAGTGTCTTACTAATTTGGCAGACGTACATATTTCTCTGTGTTACAAATCAGAACAGGAAGTGAAAGACTCGGCCTATTCCACAGGGACTAAGATAAAAAGGCCTGCTGGCCCTTCAGTTGACTGAGAACATTCTTCAGGGAACACCCCTTATTTTAGCAGGTACAACCTTGAGCAAACTAAAGGCATGTCAGAGAGGTTTAGAAGTAAATTCCTTTATAAAAATCATGACTCCTGTTGAATGGTCTGAACCAGAAATGTGTGTCTAGAGTGATGTGTCCACACCGGTGAGCACATTTTACAGAAACCAACAAAACCACCCGAATCCCAGAGAATCTCTTTACCTCTGCACACCTTCGTATTTTTAGGTTTTATTTTCTCATCCTGTTAAGAAGCCTCTACAGCACGGCAGTGTTTTAAAGGTGGTTTATTTAGATTCAGGCCAGCATCACGGTCCAGAGGAGCAAACCCAGGAAGAGGTATGGGGGGAGGAAGAGGGATTTGCAGCACATTTTCATCACATCCCCAGGGGAGCTTGTGGGAAAGAGGAATTTGTCAGCTTAAAGCGTTCACCATTTGGGAGAAAAACAGAAGAGAAGCTAAAGACATTGGGAGAAGCAATGATCCTTATTTTTGGATATTGCCACAGCTGGGGAGTTGAGGCGTAAGTGAGGTTAAAGCTTTGGTTCTTACTGTGGCAGATAAGGCACATGGTGTTTGCCAGATGGTGGGGAGCTCCACTCCTACTTGGATTTTAGGAGCCCCTGTGGCTTGGTGGCACGTAGAGCCATGGGCACTGGCAGCCTGGCCTGTGGTCAGGAGCCCCGTGTTCTAGCACCGCTCTGGCACCAGTGAACTGCTTGAGGGAGTCGTTTATCCTCCCTGGGCTTCTGTGAGTTCTCTGAAGGGTGAGGGTTTGAGAATATCAGGCCAGAGGGTCAACTTTTGCAGCCCTTGTCTCTCTAGGGGCAGTTTGGAGCCCACCTAATTTTTGAGTAGTGGCTGCTACTGGCATGCTTCTCTGGGCCGCATGATGCTCAAATCCCAAAAAACCTGAAGTATGCATACTTTCAAGAAATCAGGCCAGTATCCAGGATATATTTTAAAAGATGGAATTCTTTTATGTAGGTGATCAGTCCCACCAAAGAGCGAAGCATTTTTTAAGACCCTTTATTGTATACTGCATAATATCAAGCCTTAAAGAGGGATAAAGCAGGTCTGTTTAGTCTTCATGAAAGACAGGGAAGGGCTGGCCTGGTGGTGCAGTGGTTGAGTTCGTGAGCTCTGCTTCTGCAGCCCAGGGATCACAGGTTCAGATCCTGGGTGTGGAACTGTGCACCACTTATCAAGCCATGCTGTGGCAGCATCCCACATATAGAGGAGGATGGGCACAGATGTTAGCTCAGGGCCAATCTTCCTCAAAAAAAAAAAAGGGGGGAAATTTATTGAGCTTTTATTACACTCTATAAATAAGCTTGATAACTAAGTTATGCATTCAGAGTTTTCAATCTGAGTTAAAATCTAAATTATATTTTACCTGGTGGTTTTCTATATATAAATAGGAAAAAAAATTAAAGGAACCAGAAACTTTATGGAGTTGCATTTGATTTTATATTTTAACCATTGGAAGGCTAACTTGTTTATGCTGTATTATATTTTTAAGAAATTAACAACAACCAACTTGTTTGGATGCTCACAATACATTGAGAAGTATTTGTTGTTGGGGATGGGAAACTTAATCACTGCAGAGTTAAAAGTAGACCAAAATCCAGGAGCAAAAACAATGTGCCTTTAGATCATTGAGAGCATGTTGCCGTTTACTGTACAATGAAGTGTTTGTGTATTAGAAAATTGAAACCAAATGGATATCCTCTGTATCATACAAAGTTACTCTACTGAAAGGTAAGCAGCCGGAATGTTCCAGCTAACTTGGGGTTTTCAGTAAATCCTTTCAGAGAACTAAGTAGAAAACCAGACCTGGCATTGAGAGAGCCATTTTCTTGAAGCTTTAAAATGAATATGATAAAGAATTATAATTAAACCAAATGGAACTCTTCCATTTTGCTTGTCAACCTCTGGAAATTGTAGTATACAACATAATGACTGTAGTTAACACTGTCGTATGATATGTACGAAAGATGTTAAGAGAGTAAATCCTGAGAGTCATCACAAGGGAAACAAAATTCTTTTTCTTTTTATTATATCTCTATGAGATGATGGATGCTAACTAAACTTATTGTGGTTATCACTTCATAATATATGTAAGTCAAACCATTATGCTGTACATCTTAAACATATACAGTGATGTATGTCAATTACATCTCAAGAAAATTGAGAAAAAATAAAACCTGGAAATTTATATGGAATCAGATTATGAATGATTATAACAAACCAGCTCCAAAGTATCTTTGCCTCTTTGGAGTAGGTGTGTGTTTTAACCACTCAGTTAAATAGGTGAGATAGTGAGAGAAACTATTTCTAATAATAATTATCATGCCAGTGATAGCAGCTCACTTTCTAAATGCTTACCAGGTTCCAGGTTCTGTCTTAATCATTTCACCTGTAAGTTCATTTAATCCGCGCAATAGTTTTGTGAGGCTTATCTCCATTTTACAGATGACGAAACCACCATAGAGAAGTTAAATAATTCATCAAAGTTATGCAGCTAGAAAGTGGCAGATGTAGGATTCAGACCAGGCAGTGGGGCCCCAAAGTCCGTGCTCTCAACCTTCACTTTCTTAGTCTAAAGAAGTGCAATGAGTAGGACCGTGAGTTTTGAAAAAGTAAGATTCTTACGCTCAGCTGAATGGTTTAGACACTGTGGCATTTCTCTTTTCAGGCCCTTGGCTTAAAGTTCTCTATCAATTTACCATGGTATAAGTGGTTTTACATGGTCATTGCAAATTCATGTTGCTGAATAAATTACTGCTTAGTAAATACTTCATGATCAATTCAGACACCTTCAAGAGACCCGCCTGCCACCTGCTTTAAGAGGCAACACCGGTTCTTACCAGGTTTTAGATTATAGATGTGTGTGTTCCTTCCTACAAACATGTTATTGCCCTTCCAGCCACCAGCCTGACCAGGTAGGATTACGGAAGTAGTACAGAATATACTCGCTGCCTTGTGGATCCTTTAACCTACCCCGCGAGAGCAAATGCATGTTTATGCAGCAACCACAAAGCAGGACAAAGGGATGTGTAAGGGGTGTGGAAAAGGCCCGTGAGAGCTTGAGGACTTTGGGGACAAGAAGAATGTTCAGGAGCCAATCTGATTATACCAGAGCCTGAAGAAAGGCCTCATGAAAGAGTCTTTAGTTTTCTTCTAGAGGAAGAGAAATAACATTTCAAAGGGTTAACCTTTGTTTTAATTCAGTTTATTGTGGGTTAGTAAAATAAATTCCTCTCAAACCAGGAGTACATCTCTAACTTGTTATGACTTGCCTATCATTATAGGTTTCTCTTCTTTCTTGCTAAGTTATTTCCTCCTTAGTTATTTTTGTAAACTGATTTTTTGTTTACTTAGTGTTAAAAGGAACTTGAAGTCTTTTCAACTTACTTTTATATCGTTTTGGCCTTTTCTAGTGAGAGTTTGAGAGAGATACCCAGCAAAATTATGAGAAATGTATTCATGCATGAATTCATTACTAAAACCCAAAAATTATCACCTGATAACTATTCTTAGAGCTAGCTTTAGTTAGTGTTGCTTATACATATTTCTGTATTTGTGTGTCATTCAAATACTTTTTTAAAGAATGTATCTGAAGCTTTCCTTCCATAAAAATAATAGTAGTAATGTGTTTTGAGTGCTAATGCTGTGCCAAGCACTGTTCTAAACTTTTTAAATGTATAATTTAATTCTCATAACTCATGTGGTCTACATTCTAGGATTATCCCCATTCTACAGATGAGGAATTTGAGGTTTTGAAAGCTGATGTAACTTGCCCAAAGTTACACAGTCAGTAACTGGTGGAGACAGGAAACAGACCAGGCAGACTGGTCCTGGAGTCGAGGCCCTTAACCCTGTGAGATACACACACGAGTCCTGACACACTCCCTTATTCATTTAACAAGTATCTATTGAGTGTCTGTTTGTGCGGGAACTGTTCTAAGTGCTGGGAATGAAGTACACAAAAGAGTCAAATTCTTGCCCTTGCGGAGCTTAAATTCTAGTAAGGCGAGTCAGAAAACAGGTGAAAAAATGCTTAGTATGTAAGATAATGATACGTGCTGAGGAGATAAAGCAGCGAAGGGAGTTAGACCTTGAAATAGGGTGGTCAAGAAAGGCCTCACTGAGCAAGAGACATTTGAGCCAACACCTGAAGGAGGAGAAGGTAGGAAACATTTGGATACCAGGTGGAAGGACTTTGCAGGCAGAGGGAACAGCAGATGCAGAGACCAAGATGAGGCAGTAAGGGGGGCGCCTG